TTTTTTTTTTTTTGCTTATGAGGAAACTGAGGCCCAGGGAGGTGGAGCCGTGCTCTCAGACCCACAGCTCGTCAGGGACAGAACCACGTCATGTTTTCCCACACTCACGCGTAATCTGGCTTCTTCAGATCCTTTTCCCTGCTCGCTGATGAAGCGTGATTCACTTCAGAGGGGCCAGGACCCTGAGCGGTGAGGCCAGAGCACGCTCCTCTTCCACGTGCCTCTCCTGAGTACCTACTATGTGCTGGCACCTGCTGGGCACCAGGAAAAGATTCTCACACGTAGTTCCCAACCCCTGGTTGTTACAGGGAACGTCACTGTTTTCAAAGTGTGTGTGTGTGTGTGTGTGTGTGTGTGTGCGCGCGCAAGTGCTGGCCAGCTGTATCCCAGAAAGCAGATAACACCAGGGAAAGTTTATTAAGAGTGGGCATGGCTCAGGGGTTGAGCCAGAAAGTCACAGTTCGATTCCTGGTCAGGGCACATGCCTGAGTTATAGGTTTGATCCCCAGTGTGGGCTGTGCGGGAAACAGCTGGTCAATGATTCTCTCTCATCATTGATATTTCTATCTCTCTCTCCCTCTCACTTCTTCTCTGAAATCAATAATATATATATTATTATTTAACACAGAAATATCCCTAATGTCCACAGTGCCCTCTCACTGCTCAAGGTCCTGGCCCTCTAAAGTGGAGGGGACTTGCTTCACAGCTCACTTATGGATTGAGGCGAACCAGAAGTTCTGATGAATTCCCCAACCACAGTATCACAAAAATGGGAAATTTCAAAACAACAGAACTCACCGCCTTAGCAAGTAGCCATTTCCATCTCGCCTTCCTGGACCATCGTGTTTACGGCATTCTAGTCACACGGCGTCTCTTTCCTACTGTTTTATGTCACATGAAACTGTCCCGTCAGCATTTTCCGTGCTGTTACATCACTGTCACATTGATCATTTTTTTCTTTCCCCAAATGAAGATAACCTCATTGTTTATTCCTGGTGGTAAAAACATTCTGTGCACTTTTTATTCCTGTTTTTTAAAATGCAGTCAGTACCACAGAGACTGCGGAAGAATGCAGTCACCCCTGTCTCCCCTCCCTCCCCCCCTTCAGAGGCAGCCAGCTGAGCCCTGGGGAACATCCTTCCAAACAGACCTCAGTGCATTGGTCTTAGTCAGCTTGTTGACTCCTTAACATTTCAAAGTGTAAACATGTGGATTCCTTTTCCACCTTTCCTTGCTGTGGGGGTTGGGCTGGTTGTTTTGGGAAGTGGGGAAGGGACCCTGGAAGGATACAAAGGAGCCAGAACGTTCTGGAAGCTGCTAGAAAGAGGAAGTGTCAGGGTGGGCTGTGTCTGTGTTTCCGGAGGCTGCTGTCACGAAGTGCCCCGGGCTGGGCAGCTTACACGGCAAAGAGCATTCTCGCGTAGCTCCAAGTCTGGGGTCTGCCATCAGGAGGACAGGGCCATGCTCCCTCTCAGGACCTGGGCAGGTCCTTTCCTGACTCCTCCTGGTTCCTCGTGCATGCCAGAGATCCTCAGTGCTCCTGGCATCTAGACACGACCTTCTGAGCCTTACCTCCTTCGTCACGTGCAGCCCTCCTCTTCCTCTCGTGTCTATGTCTGCATCCCCCTCTTCCTGTAAACTCTCCAGGCATGGGATGCGGCCCTCCACTCCAGCCTCATCATCACTTGATTAAATCTGCAGGCACTGTTTCCCCTAAGGCAGTGGTTCTCCACCTTCCTAATGCCGCGACCCTTTAATACAGTTCCTCATGTTGTGGTGACCCCTAACCATAAAATTATTTTTGTTGCTACTTCATAACTGTAATTTTGCTACTGTTATGAACCATAATGCAAATATCTGTGTTTTCAGATGGTCTTAGGCTCTACAGCAGCAGTGGTTGTAGAGCCACAGGTTGAGAACCACTAGCAGGGTCACCTAAGACCATCGGAAAACACAGATATTTACATTATGATTCATAACAGTAGCAAAATTACAGTTATGAAGCGGCAACGAAAATAGTTTTATGGTTGGGGGTCACCACGACATGAGGAGCTGTATTAAAGGATCACAGCATTAGGAAGTTGGGGAACCACTGCCCTAAGGTCACATGTGCAGGTAACAAGGCTGAGGACCTCAACGTGTCTTTTGGGGGACACACTTCAACCCATAACATGTGGGTTCACCAAGGGACGGAGGAGTAGGATGAAACGGCATGGACAGCTTCTTAGGAACGAAAGGGAAGCAAGAGAGCAGGATACACAGACTGAGGTTCTGAGGCTGAGGAGGGAGGTAAGGAAGGCCAATTTCTCCTGCAACTCGTGTTCCTGTATTGTAAACTTTACAGAGGGCCCAGGACTGATCAGAGAGCCCAGCTGCTCATAAATCCCACCGGGCCACTTTCCCATGGTCGCCATGATGTGCAGCCACTGGTGTGCCCCACGGGCCTCATGACAGCATCCTGGTGTTCATGGGCAGGGCACATACCCAGGTTGCAGTTTCGATCCCGTCAGGGCACGTGCAGGAAGCAAATGATCAATGTTTCTCTCTCACATTGATGTTTCTCTCTCCCTCTCTGTTTCTCTCTCTCTCTCAAATCAATTTTTAAAAATTTAAAAAGACATACTCTTTTGATGACCTTAAAAAAAAGTTTATATCCTTTAACCCAGTAATTGCACTTCTTAAATCTATCTTAAGAAAATAGTTTTAAATGAAAGCAGTGATTTTTGTGTAAAGATGAATGTGTGTGAAATATTGGAAATAGCCTATTTGATGAGAGTAGATGATTGGTTGATTTAATTATGATACTCCTTCAGTGGTCTACTAGATTGCTGGTAGAAATGATAGTTTTGAAGCTATTTTGAGAGTAGGGGAAGTGTTCACACCATAATAGTATGTGGAAAGTAGCAAAATAGTAATAGAAAGCACGAAATCCATTTATGAGTATGAATGCATGTTGTATACGTTAAAACACATAAGTGGATAGTAATGGACATTTAAGGAAACAAGTAGAATGGTCGTTAGGGATTATCTCTGAGTTGAGAATTACAGGTGATTTTGTGTCTTTGTGTTGTTCAAGTCTTTTTTTTTTTTTTTCCTTTTGCCAAATGAGCGTGTATTCCAGTTGAAGTCAGATAAAGGCAGCAAGTGGTTATGTTTTAATCCAGTGCTGCCTGTGTCACCAGATTCCTGCCAGAGACACATGCCTGCCCCCTTCCTCCCAGCGGAGTGGGTCCAGGAGGCAGGAAACGGGGGAGAGACCTGCCCACAGCCTCCTGCTCCACAGGGGCTTTGCCCGGTGACCTGGGACACACCACCGCCTTGCCACAGGCCTCGGTTTCCCCATTTGTAAAACTACGCTAGTTGGACTGGTTTCGTTCTAAGAATGCAATAAGGACGTGGGCATAATAATTCCAGGCTTCACACCCACCCTAACCCTAATCACCGAGTGACATGACTGGCCATTGCCAGGAGCACTGTGTCAGCCACACTCGTGAGGTCACAGACCACGTGGCCACCTGGGAGAGAGTTCTGACGTAGCCGGGAGACCTGGCAATTTCCTTTGGGGTGAGCAGGTGATGTTCCTGCATATCGTTCATCCCTCCAACAGGCTCATTATTCCCATTTTCGGTGCCAGGCCCTGGGTGTACGGTGAGACTTGGCACCTAGAGCTCATCCTTCCCTCTGGCTCCAGTGTAGGCAGGCCTTTCCCTGTAGAGGTATTGGCATCACCTTTGATTATTCTAGAGAGACACTGTGTATTTGAAGCTGAGTGCCTGACTCTGGAGGTGCTCAGCAGGATACACCATGTGAGTAAGCCCCTGCGTGCGTCTGATTTTCTTCTGTGGCTGTGAAGTGAGGAATCCAGGACCAGATGGGTCCTGGGCAGCATGAGTCCAACAACGTGTCAGCTCCCTGGTGCCGTGCAATGGACTTGGGACCAGAAGGCCCAGGTTCAAATGCAGCTCTCCTGCCTCCCGGCCTTGTTACCTGCAGAGATGCGTAGCTTCTCTGAGCTGCAGTGTTTACATCCATAAAATGGGGACATACAGCGTTTACCAGGTTGCTGTGAGCGCTAATCGGAGTGGCATCTGCAAAGGAATCTGAGCATGGACCCGGCCGTCACGTTAGTGCCCTTGTGGCTTCCTTGAAAGGGAAAAAGCCCAGCTGGTGTAGCTCAGTGGTTGAGCATCGACCTAGGAGCCAGGAGCTCAGGGTTCGATTCCCAGTCTGAGTACATGCTGGGTTGCAGGTCCCATGCCCAGTGTGGGTGTGCATAAAAATGGTTTTATCTCATCGTTGGCGTTTCTCTCTCTTTCTCTTCCTCTCCATCTCTGAAATCAATGAAAAAATATTTTTATTTTGAGAAGAGGAAGAAGAAAAAAGTAAAGATAAAAATTATGAACAACAAATACATATCTATCAACAAGTGAACCCAGAAATCAAGTGCATTAAAAATCTGAGGAACTGGTGAATATAATAGAATCAGGGACATAGAAAGGGAGTGGACTGATAATTCTTAGGGGGAAAGGGGTAGGGGGGTGCAGGAAGAGACTAGACAAAAAGTGTACACCTATGGATGAGGACAGTGGTGGGGAGGTAAGGGCAGAGGGTAGGGTGGGAACCGGGTGGAGGGGAGATGTGGGGAAGGGGGGGAAGGAGAAACTATTATAATAATCTGAACAATAAAGATTTATTAAATTAAAAAAGAAAGTAAAACTATTAATAATTTTCATAATAAAGTAAAAGTTTATTTGAAAAATAAGAATATTAAGCATAAAGAGAAAGGGAAGCAGAAAGAAAGTGAAAGTTGCTTTCAGTCATTTTTCATTGTGTTTGCAACTGACTCTCCTCACCCACACCCACCACCCCATCCCGTCATGAGCAGAGGGCTCCCGGGCATCGCCACCCCGGCTCCGTGCTCTCCCCTCAGGCCGTGGCCAATGCATGGTGTCCCCTCAGTGCCCAGCGCAGTGACGCCGCTGTCGGCCCCTCTCTCGCAGGTCCTTCAAGCCTGACTTCATCCTGGTCCGCCAGCACGCCTACAGCATGGCCCTGGGCGAGGACTACCGCAGCCTGGTCATCGGCCTGCAGTACGGAGGGCTGCCCGCCATCAACTCCCTCTACTCCGTCTACAACTTCTGCAGCAAGCCCTGGGTGGTAGGTGGCGGCCGGGCTGACCCTGAGGGAAGTGGGGGCAGTGGGAGAAACCCCCTGGGCCTGAGACGGGCCCGTTCCCCAATAAGGAGAGCTCAGCATGAAAAGGCAGCTGAAGAAGCAACTTGGATCCCAGTCCCCTCCTTGTAGTGATTGCCGAACAAATATCATATAACACGTAGTATGACACAGTGGTGTCCTATAATGATATTAGTGGTCAGAGGCAGCACGATCCTGTTCTGACTAATATTCTGTCACGTCACTGTTGTTAGCAATAGGCACTGGGTAGTGGGCATGGAGCAAGTACTAGAACGTGGTGCTGCCTGGCATTCAGTCCATCATGACCACGGGCAGGTGGCTCAGAACAGCTGAGGAACCTGCCCAGAGTCCAGGCGTGAAGCCAGACCTCGGAGTCCTCTTTCCGACCCCCAAGACTTGATTTCCCCCACCTTCTATTCACTTGTTTCATTCATTCACTTGATGTATTTGAGTCTCCATAAATGTCGCCTGTAAGAGAGGCTTTGCCCAAAATACCACGCCTCCACTCCCACAACTACGCCTAAATCCCTTTATTTTATTTTTTTAAATATATTTTATTGTTTGTTTTTTTACAGAGAGGAAGAGAGATGAATAGAGAGTTAGAAATATTGGATGAAAGAGAGACATCAATCAGCTGCCTCCTGCACACCCCCTATTGGGAATGTGCTCGCAACCAATGTACATGCCCTTGACCTGAATCGAACCTGGGACCCTTCCAGCCACAGGCCAACGCTCTATCCACTGAGCCAAACCAGTCAAGGCCTAAATTCCTTTAAGACACTGCACGTTCAATCCTTGCAAAGCCCCTGTGAGGTTGGCTCCCTCTTTTTCTCCACCCACAGAGGAGGACACGGAAGTTCAGACACCTTTCCCAGGTTACACAGGAAGTGCAGGAGCAGGAATTTGACCCCAGAGTCTGTGCCATAAACTCCTGTGTCACGTGCCTCTTTAGAAAGAAGGGACACGCATGAATGCCAGCAGGTTGTGCTTGTGTGAGAGGCTGAGGGTATAGGAAACGTGCATTGAAAGTTATGGAGCTGAACTCGGTGTGCCTGGCAGGAATGCAGGGGTTGGTGCAGCCAGGTGCAGGAGGTAACGGGTGCCCGCTAAAGCCTGTGACCTTTTCCCCATAGGCAGAGAGCAGCCACTGTGGCTCAGCTCAGAGCCGTCTGACACTTGAGCCCCGGGGTCATGGGGTGGCTCTGTCATATGAGGTAACAGGGGTTGACCCATGTTCTTTCCTTTTCTGTCCTAGTTTTCTCAGCTCATTAAGATCTTCCACTCCCTGGGTCCAGAGAAGTTCCCGCTGGTGGAGCAGACATTTTTCCCCAACCATAAGCCAATGGTGAGTGGCCTGTGTATGCTGCTTATTCGCGCGATCTGGAGCTGACACATGTCTGTGTTCTCCGTTCATTTGGATGGAGGAGATGGGCCGGCCTCGATGCCTCATGGGAACGCCGGCTATCCTAAGGGAAGAGTCTGCTCTGCAGGTGGGATTTAGGCAGCAGGAGGCATGGCTGAGGGGGGCAGAGTTCCCTGGGATTTCTGGGATTTGGGGCACACAAGGGGACCACCTGAACGAGCATGTGGGGGCCAAAGGTTGATAATAAGGGTAAATGCTGCTTCAGAGGCGGAATGTTGTTTTATTTGCGCCTGCGCCGGCCTTGGTTTCCGCTCTGATGTCAATAAAAGCAGTAGTATTTGACTGGCATGGGTTGTTGGAGGACAGTTTCCTTGTGTGTCCCCTTCATATTCCAATGTTTGAATGCACTTGTGGTTGTCTCTGGGAAGTGGTCGGAGCTTCCCTTGGGCAGCCGGTGGCAGAGGTCACTGTCCCCTTCCATGGGCTGGAGCGCTCTGCACCCCAGGGCTGGCACAGGTTGGGTGGGAGCGTCCTGGGCAGCTGGAAACGGCCTGAGACGTGCCTGCTTGTGCAGATGGTCCCAGGAACCCAGGTCTGTGCTTCCACTCGCCTCAGGAAGAAGGGGAGTGAATATTGGAGAACAGGGTAGTTCAGAGGGTGTCAGGGGGTGCCAGCTCAGGGACAGTGGCCTCTTGTGGACTTCCAAGCTCAGGCTGCTGAGTTGGACAATCCCATTTGGAGACCCTGATCGGAAGGACTGCAGGCTCCAGGTGGGAGCAGTCGATGGAGGGGTTTGCTATTGATCTCTCGCTTACATCCGATGCGGTGAGAGTCCCAGCATGCAGGACTTGCTGGTTGGAATAAGAAGGGTATGAGGAACCCGGCATATTCCAGCAAAGCGTGACCATGGTAGGGAAACGCAGTGTTTATCCTCAATCCTCGCTCTGCCTGCCGACTAGATCCTAGGCACTGAGTTCATGTCTGTGAGCCTGAGCTCCCATCGCTGAGAACCACGGGTGCTGGAGCAACAACCTCGTTGGGTTGTTGTGATTTCATGAAACCGTGAGTGTAGAGTGCTGTGTCTGGCGTACGATAGGGCTTCAACGTAGTGACGCTTTAAAATACAAGCAAAGCTACACCCTGGGACATGGTCAGCAATGGGACGACAATTGGGGGAAGAGTTTACAGCGTCCATTGAGGGCGGCAGGCGGGTCTAAGCTCTGGGCAGGCTTTGCTGTCTATGGTGAGGCCTCATGAGTTCCTGGCATTGCCCACTAGGCTGCGCCACACTCAGAATTTCAGGCGGGCATTTGACATCTGTGCAGTCTTCCCCTGCCCACTTCCACGTGGTTGAGATTCTTAGGAAGGAGACGGGTAGACCCGTCCGGGAGTACCTGTAGCACTAACAGGTAATCAGGTTCCCAATTCTGTGGTACTATGGACATAGAATCGGGGAGCAAGAGCAGGGCTGGAGGAGCATCCAGGAGGAAATCTAAGATGCCTGTCCTGAAGTTCCCCCTGCCTGGGGAAGGACCAGTGCGGGCGGCCACATCGTGGAGGTGAGTGGAGCGCGGGGTGGGGGAGCCTGAGGCCAGGGCAGGCGGGACCCACCAGTTCCCAAGACCCTCTGTGATCTGCACCCCGCCCCTCTTGAACCTTCCCCACCCTCTCAACCCCCAACCCCCGGCGGCACGGTCAGGACACAAGGAGGTGAGAGACGGCAGGTGCGTGATAGAAACCACTTTACTGTTTAGAATCAAGGACACACTATAAAAAGTGAACATTATGCAACATTACAAGACAATATACATTCACGGAATATAAAATTCATAAATAACATGGAGGAAAACTGTAAACAGTGCTACAAAATTTAGCAACAAATACATTCCTTCTAAGACTGTGTTTTCTCTGGTTGGTACCTCTCCATCACTTCTGGGTGTCAGGACAGCAGACTGGCTTCGGGGGGAAGGCGGGGGTGGGGGGCCTCGCAGCCCCTCCCCTCGGAGCATGACCCGGTCTCTAAGTTCCTCCCTCCTCACGCCTCCCAAAAGCCTCTTGGCAGGCTGCTGACATCTACCTCTCCTACCCGTCCCCGTTTTGTTTGGCTTCTGCCATCAGATCTTCAAAGCATTTTTCTTGTGTCAAACTATCTTAGTGATTTTTTATTTTCTTTTTATTTCTTACTTTGGGCAGCCGGAAGCCAAGCACTTGGGTGTCATCTTGGGGAAATCCCCATTGGCCATCGTCAAACCCAGGATCCTGGCTGGGGCAGGGAAGGGTACGGTCTCCCTCGGTGTCTCTGAGACAGAGCTGTGAATAAATGAATAAATCATTGATTTCTTGAATTGCTCAGGATCCAGGGTATAAAAAATGGTGTTCATGGGCTGTAGCCTGACCGCTGTTTGGGTCTGGGGCTCAGGGAGGAGTCTCCCGGTATTTCCTGCCTTGCCACGGGGAACACCAGACAGAGAGGCAGAGCCTGGAGGGCTTCCCGGAGAGGGAGGCAGAGCGATGGCCAGGGGATACCAAGAGGTTTGGGGATTACAGCGCTCATGGCCCGGGATTTAGGAGAAATCGTGGCTTCCCACTTGGCAAAGGGCCTAGGGGAGGAGAGGAATGGGAATGACCGGCAGACTGCCCGGGGCCAGGTGAGACAGAGCAAGAACATGGATGTCCGTGCTGTTTCCCCACCCCTGCCTCCTGCCTCCTGCCTCCTCCAGGAAGCACGGATGCTGACCGAGAGGAGGCTGGAGGGGCCTGGGTGCCAGCTCCTTCTCGCTTCCCCGGTTCGCCAGTCTGGCCGTCTGCGCCACAGAAGCCTCTACCCTCCGTTCCACTGTAGAATTTGATTTGGGAAAAATGGTGGCATGTGGGTTTCATTTCTTTTTTTTTCTCTTAAACACAATGTACACATATGACAGCCTACACAGGATAAGATTTAGCAAAATAAAACATTCACCATATGATTGAAGTACAGAAGTGCCTCGGCTACATAAATGACTTTAAATGATACAGTCAGTGAACAGGTGAAATAAACAAAGCTATAGCTTACAGAGACCTCCTCCACCGCCGCCCTCCGGCAACGTCGCTGGGCCAAGGACCCTTCGCTGCCCAGGACCCGCTCTCCTCCCCACCGGGGCCTGGCACGAGGGCCTGAGGTCCCGCCCGCTTGTCTGCAGAGAAACCACAGGTGACTCGTGCCCAGGCCCCACTGGGTGTGTGGAGGGACCCCCACCAGGGACCCAGAATGATCAGATGCCTCCTGGAGGGGAGGCTGACTCTGGGTAGGGGAACTTGCACAGGTTGGATTAGGGATTCCACCTTGTAAGCCTTCGGGGCCGAAATAAAAATCTTAAAAACATCAAGCCTGCGGCTCAACCCTTACGAGACTGCTGACCGCAGCTCCTTCTGCTCACACTGCCCCCCCGCCCCCCCGGGGACGGCAAAGCCTCTGTTTCCTGCGTGCCAGGTGTCACGACCACACGGTGAAAGGTACAAGGTGGTGGACTTGACCCTAAGGAAGCCGGGTGCCTGGACTGTCTCCCCGCTCTTCCCACCCGGGGTTCCGCCAGGCACCGGGTCTGGGCGTTTGCGTGCGCGTGCGAGACCTCACGACGTGTCGCCGGCCTTTTGTTCTCCCCTGTCAGCGGGCAGCTCTGTTTCCTAAAGCGGAATGAACTGAAGATACAGATGCTAAGGGAGGATAAATAACCCACGATCTGGGAAAAGGAGAACAGCCGTGTTCCATGTCACCGTCCTCCCACCCCCATTCTGAAATATAAGCGATTGCCTGCTCTCCGCATCTCATTTCAACACTAACATTTAAAATACTTTATTTAACTGGAGAGTTTATATTATAGTTTTATTTAAAAACAAAACAACAAAAAAAAAAAACCCTCCAGCTAACGGCAGAGCCAGGCTTCCCCAGTGACCACCCCTTTCAACCCGAGAGGTGAGGCCCCCAGGAAGTGGCCGTCACCCACCAGGGAGCTGGGGAAAGATAAGCCAACCCAGGGAAGCCGGCCATCTGGCCAGGGCAGGACCCCGCAGCCTTCCCTCGAGCCCAGTCCCCGGCCCTCGCGGACACGCATCTCCCTCCTGAGCCCCGCCAGGAAGGCAGCTACACGAAGGCCCTGGACATGAAGCAGGAGCAAAGGACAGGGACAGAGGTCAGGTGACCCCAGTGAGAGGAATGCTGAGGGTGTTCAGAATCTCAACTTTTAATTAAAATGAGAAAGAAAAAAAGAAAAAAAAGTCAACTTGGAATGTCATGATTTCCTTGCAACAAGCAACAACAAAATAGAAGAGATTAAACTGTGGGTGTATTGAACAGCACGGAACAGAAATCTGTGTCCTGTGTAAAAAAAAAAATCAGCTTATGTCCCCCGTGTGGGTATATGCAAAGGTGTATACAAACACGGCCTCCTCGGTGAGCTAAACGCTGCCTTGGAAATAGTATTCTCTAACCAAGCCTACGGGGCCACCTCGGTGGATGGTGTAGCATAGGGTGTGTGTATTTCTCCAATTTACATACGGGGAAACTCCTGGCCACATGGACCAAAGAGTCCTCCAGGAGGGAGTCTCGGGGGAGGCGAGAAGAGGAAAGACACTCGTCTCAGTTTTCACCGGAGCTTTTGTCCAAGACAGGCAAAAAGCCTCCTCCTGACTTCGGGCAGATGCTGAAGTCTTCACCGGACTAAGAGAGTTCTGTGATTGCAAGCCTGGCTGTTTGCTCCAGACTCGGCAACATCTGGTCCGCCCGAGCATCACGGAGCTAGAGGGATTGTGTGTGCTGCTTTATCTCAGACCCCCTCTCACGGTTCCTCCCTCTCCTCCGCCCCTCTTACGTCAGAGACACACAGACAGACACAGTCCAGTTGGGACGTGCGGTAGCATCGCTGGGTGTACCAGATCTGCCGCCTACCTCGAGACTATCTGGGCTGCTACCCTTGACTGATGCTCACACAGTTGGCCTTTTAGCAGCAACCTTGTCTGTGTCCTTTATGGGCTGGGATGGAGGAGAAGGGCAGAGGGAGGAGGGTCTAGACAGGCGTCCTCAAACTTTTTAAAGTGGGGGCCAGATCACGGTCCCTCAGAGAGCTGGAGGGCCGGACTATATGAACTACTAATTCCTACTGTAACACCTCGGCTGCGCTCACTGCCCAAAAAACCTGGCGGGCCGGATCAGACTCCTCTGCGGGCCGCATGTGGCCCGCGGGCCGTAGTTTGAAGACGCCTGGTCTAGGAAATGCTGGGGGGGGGGGGGGGGGGGGGGAAGAGAGTGGGGTAGGCATTCCAGTGCCCACGTAGGGTAGTTTTTTGATTTTTGTTTTCCTAAAAAAATAGAGATTATGTTATCGTGAAGAAGAGGAGTGTACATTCCTCCTTCTCTCTGGCATGGCACCAAAAACTCCTGGGTGGAGACAGGGGATGTCAAAACCAACAAGAAGGTGTGGGGTGGGGCCAGGTGGATGTTTCCAAATAAACGCCATAGGACAGCACAGACTTTGCTTTAAGTGTTCGAAGTGCTAAATTTGCGAGAGAGAAAAAAAAAAAAAAAACAGGCACTAATTTCATTTGTCATCATTCGGAAAGAGTTAGTGTCCGAGGGAAGCTCAGCGGGAAGGGAGGGAGGTGAGGCAGGGCAGGGCCCGGCGCTCAGGGGTCGGTGGCGTTGATGATGGTTTTGTCCGGGGGGGCCCAGCCTCGGTACCAGCTGCAGGAGCCGCCCTTCTGCCGGATGCAGGCGTAGTGCTTGGTCTGGTGGCCAGGGTAGCCGAAACTGGCGGCCATGTCGGTCCAGACGCACTCGTTCTTGGAGCTCACGAAGCAAGGCGGGTAGTAGCAGGTCTTGATCTGCAATTAGGTGACAGCCACCGGTTAGCAGGCTCTGCCATGGGGGACCCAGGCCTGATGCCGGCCCCAGGGTGGGACTCCTCAGGACCTGGGACCACGGCAGGGGGATCCCAGGCACAGCGGTCCCTTGGTGAAAATAGCGTACTGCTGGCTAACTCTTACTGAGCACCTACTGTGCGCTGGACCTTCTGCTAAGGACTGTGCTACGCTCTTCTCTTTCATTCTGATAACGGATGTCTCTCCCTTTTACAAATATGGAAACAGAGGCTTATGGGGGTTAAGCAGCTGAATCGCGCAGCCAGGCCACACAGCCAGGAAGTGGTACATCAGACCTTTGAGAGCACTTCTCCCTCTCAAGGGGTCACAGGCCAGGATGGGCGACCCCTGTTCTTGTAGGGAGCTGAGGAAGCGGAGTGAAGCACCAACTCTGGGGTCCAACTGCCCCGGGCTGGTCATCAGGCGCAGCGAGCTGTGCGACTTAGGGCGAGTTACTTAGGGCCTCGGAGCCTCTATTTCCTCATGGCATAATGGGGAGGATAGTAATAAAAACCGCAGCGTTGTTTTGAGAATCGAGTGAGAGAACAGCCCGACTCCCTCCCACAGCAGGGAGGCTGTGAGCCTTGTCCCTGTGTCCGGTCCAGGAGTTGGGCCTGGCTCCAGAGTGTTCTGTCGTGTGGGGCATCAGCGAGCCAGCTCTTCCCCCCCCCACCCCCACCCTGGGTGGGCCCATCAATGAGTTAGCTGCTCAAGTGAGCCCACTTGGGATTACTTGGCAGGACCTGCCACTGTAAGGACCCTGTACCTGCCACCAACGTGAGCCGAGGGAGGGGCCAGGGAATCTGAGCCTTGTGCCCCAGCAACTGCCAAGGGGGCAGCAGCACAGGTGGACGGAGGCAGCGGCTTGCAGCAAGAAGTCACTCTGCTCTTGCCTTGGGGACAGCATTCCTTCCACCCCCCCCCCCCCCCCCCCCGCTCAGACCTGTCCCTCTGCCCCCGCCCCTCCTCACCCCCTTCCCCACACAGGGGCCCAGCACCCAGTACAGCAGGAGCTGGTATTTCTGGGGCTGTGAGCCAGCACCCCCTCCCTTCTCCCCGCCTGCCTGTCCCGGGGCTTACCTTGCAGTTACAGCCCAGGTGATACCGGTAGTTCAGCCCCTTGCGCTGAGAGATGGTGAGCTGGTCCCACCGCTCCACGAAGTTGCACAGGCCTATGTACACCTTCCCGTCGAAGATCCGGCCTGGAGGAGGGGGGCGGGGGGGCGGCAGCAGAGGCAGAGTTGTTTTGGGGGAGCCCAGCTGGAGGGGAAGAAGCCACACCTCCCGAGTCCCCACCGTGGGCTGGGTACCAGGCTCAGGACACTTCCGGCCTGAGGTTGTGTTTTTTCACCCTCGCCTACACCTTTGAGGATGGATGGGTCCCCGTTGTCCCGATGGGGAAAACCGACTCAGGGAGGTCCCTCAGACCATGAAGCTGGTTCTAGGGACCAGCTCCGTCACTTCCCACACCAGCCGTTTCAGGCTCCGGTTTTGTTACTTCCTTTCCTACACTGGCTGCCTACAGGGGCTGAGGGTGAGTTTCAAAGACAGAGCTCGCGGGCTGACTGTGAGGTGGAGACCTCAGGGACTGGCGATCCCTTTTCGCTTACAGTAGCTCGGAGACACCAAAACCCGGGGATTTCCTCCCCGGGGTCCGTGGTGGAGCTGACAAGCCAGCCTGGGTGCAGGAGCCTTGGGTCCCACCACGGGGTATGGGCGGTGCCCTCAACCCTACACGCTCCCCACAATTCACTGGGCGCAGGCAGAGGTCCTCCTTCGTCCTTCCAAAGTGAAGGACCGTGGGCCTCGGTCACACCCCGGCCCAGGTGCTGAGCTGGCCGTTACCTGTCAGCAGGTACTGGTACTTGTTGACCTCCAGCTTCACGCCGCAGAGACTCTCGGAGGCCTCCGTGTGGATGTACTGCACGTGGGGCATCTTGGTGAACCCTCGGTACATCTGTGGGCGGGAGGAAGGGTGAGAGGAGGGCCCGGGCTCCGGAACACGCTGTCACATGGTCTACGGGGATCTGATTCTCCTGAGGGAGGCCGGCCACCAACCCACCCATGCTGTGTGCTGGGGTGGGGTTGTCAGAGGCTTCTAGCCGGAGCTTCAAAGGGAGATCCTGCGATTGCTCATCCCCTCAGACAAACCGCCAAAGGAAGGGGGCCAAGCATTCCAGTGGCCCAGCATATCTGTCTATCCTGACAGAGTCAGGACCCGGCACAGCTCAGGACCAGCGTGCCTCCCCATGGGACTGGCTGGGACATGATGTCCCCACGTGCTGTCCCTGCAGCTGGCCTCTACAGCACAAACGGCAGACTGCTTTCCCATGAAGGTCCTGATAGGAGAGGCGGTCCCCATAGATCACAGCAGCCACTTCTGGAAACTTCCACCTTTGCACCGCAGCCCCGTAGCTCAGCTCCCGCTAATCTCCAAGTTTGGGTTTGCAATGAGCTCCCTCAACATTCTAACTGCCCTCCCCCTTCTCCACTATGCACCGTGCATCTCTGCACACTCCAGATGTGTCCGAGAGGCCATCCGGAGGCTCTGGAGGGTGCATATGGGAGAGGGTCTGCCTGTCTTTACGCTGGGGGAGAAGGGTTTTTGTTTGAGGGGCCGTGAAGGGGCCTCTGAGAATGAAGAGAGAGGCCCCACAAGGTGACCTGAGTTCTTGGGTTCTCCAAGTTCCCCCAAGCCTGCTCTAAGGAGCCCTTGCTCCCCCAATCTCTGGGTAGATGCTAATCTGCTAGAACACATGTGTCAAACACAAGGCCCGCGGGCCAAATCCGTCCCGCCAGGCCTTGCAATGTGGCCCGCACCGCGCTGTCATCACTGCACTCTGCTGCGTTTCCATTACAATGACAGTTTATGACTGTTCAGTAAACCATTCGGCCCGCGATTTAGGCTGGATTTTAGATTTTTGCCCCTTCTCTGATTGAGTTCGACACCCCTACGCTAGAATAAAGCACTCAGGCACCGGGGCCAAAGCCCATGCAGGCCGGCCTCCAGGCTTCAGCCCCTTCCCTCCCACAAAGATGTGTTTGTTACTCTTTGCAGGACGTTGCAAGTCAAGAGTTATGCTGCTGCAGGGCAAACCCACAAACGCCAGGGAACTTCTCTGTTCCCTGGGGGACTGGGTACAAATGGGGTGAGGGGGCCCCCAGAGTGGGTGGGCATGATGCCTCCTGTTGCTGACGCATCCTATCTGGCAGGAGAGTTGGGGGTGGGAGGGTGGTGTCCTATAAAGAACACACGGACTGGGAAGGAATCCTGACACCTCAGCATGGGGGCGGAGCTTTTTTTTTAAATATATTTTTATTGATTTTTTTACAGAGAGGAAGAGGGATAGAGAGTTAGAAACATGGATGAGAGAGAATCATCGATCAGCTGCCTCTTACACCCCCACCACTAGGGATGTGCCTGCAGCCAAGGTACATGCCCCTGACCGGAATTGAACCTGGGTCCTGGGAGTGGGGGTGGGTGGCTCTGAAGCGGATGGGCGAGCAAATGTTATTTGGCCTCCAAACTCCCCATTCCCCCTCCTCCCAGTGGCTGGTCTGACACCACAGAGGAGAAATAGGACATCTGCCCACAGCAAGGGCCCCTGGCCGTGCGTCCAGGCCCTGAAGGAAGGAGGAAAGCTGGGTGAAGCTAGGAGCCACAGCCTCCCACTCTCTCCCGGCACAGAGAGTCTCCGTGTGCAGGAGCAGCAGGGCGGGGCGGGCAGGGGATGTGCTCCCAAACCTCCGCCCCGTCTGACCTGCCTTGGGTCACTGCCTGCGCCAGGAGCTGCGCGGTGGGTTTCTGGGCTGTTGTTGCTCTTCTTGGTCCCCCCTTCACCCCGTTTCTCTCTCTCTCTCTCTCTCTCCTCTCTCTCTCTCTCTCTCTCTCTCTCTCTCTCCTCTCTCTCCTCTCTCCTCTCTCTCTCCCTCCTCCCTCCCTCCCTCTCTCTCTCTCTCTCTCTCTCTCCTCCCTCCCTCCCTCTCTCTCCTCTCTCTCCTCTCTCTCCTCTCTCCTCTCTCTCTGGCCATCGGAAGACATAGCGGGTCCCATGACCGCGCTCAGGCAGCCAAGGGCAGCCGGCCAGGCCTGACTCTGGACATTACATAACCAGGAGGCTGTGGATGTTTCCAAGCCAAAGCAGCAGGTTCTAACCGCTTCAGAGTGGGGCCCGCAGGTCTGCCTTGGGGACAGATGGGTACCTCTGGGGGAAGAGGGGGAGCTGTGCACCCGCCCTGACTGCTGGGGATGTGAATGTGAGCAAGGAAGAAAGGGGCTCGCAGTTCCCGGGGACCTGAGTGCCCCCATTTTGAACTTCTGATTCGTCGCCCTGTGTCCTTTCTCCCCGCCGGCCTGCAGTTCCTACATGCAGGAGCTCTGTTTTTTCCCATGAGCCTCCACGGCCCCTGGCCTACAGCGCTGCCCACAGGGTGGTGCTTGCAGAGGTGGGGGGTGGGCCAGCTGCCACAGTATCCAGCAGCTGAAGCAGCTCCTGTTTGGAAGGAGCGTCTGGAAATGCCTCAGCCACAGGGCTCCTCGGGGCACGGAGCCCACCCCGCACCGTTAACACAAGGCGAAGCCCAGGCCCAGGCCAGGGAGAGTCCTGAGATCAGCGGGCTCCTCGGGAATGGAGTTGAGACCAGGAAGTGGGTTCCCTGGACTTGGAATCGGATGCTCTTTTCCCCAAGGCGGCTCCTTAGTATGCGCACAGTGGGACCACGCTCAGCTGTATGAAGGAGCCCAGCAAATGATGCTAACTAGCTGGGATACAAGAAGACAAGGAAAACTGGGGAAATAGGTCAGAGGGCACCGTTCCTGCCTCCCGATGAGGTCTCTGTGACCAGCACCAGCTCAATGTAAAGCTTTGAGGAGTAAACCTAAGTTGCAGCATCCGTGGTTGCACAGACCTGTGGGCCTTGTTGAAATGCAAAGTCAGGGCTTGAGAGAGCCATAAGGCAGTCTGGTCCAACCCCCTCATGGTACAAATAGGGAGACCGAGGCCCAGCGACGGGTCCCAGTGAGCTGGCCAAGGTCTCATGGTTACCAGTTAACAAGGTTGTCGGCTGTCTGGACCTGAAGCCCAGCCTCAGAGGGACCCCACCTGCGCGGGCTCTGGGATGAAGCAGCCACCATCCCCGCCCGCCTTTCCGCCCATCGCTTCCTGCTGCCTCAGCAGCACCCTCTCCAGCCAGGCGGAAGGGCTGGCACTAGAGCTCAGACACACAGACCACCCTGCCCCCACAGGCCAGGCCTCTTCCGGCAGAACCCACCCAGAAAGCCTCCTGCAGCCGGGCTGCCGCCACTCACCTTCATCTGCTTAATGGTGTAGATCAGCGTGCCGTAGGGCCCCTCCTTCACTAGCTTCTTCCCCACCACTCTGGCCCGGATCACTGCAGAGACAGGCAAGACAAGACAGGGAGGAGGTTAGGGAGGCCTGAACCACATCACATACCACATCTCGGGGGCCCATCCAGCCCCAGGGGGCCTGGCATTGCTTTCTTACCATTGAGCCAACTAGCAAAGGCAGCCGTGTGCATTAGAGCAAGAATTCAGATGAGGGGCACTGGGTGCGGGGCAGGGGGCAGGGAAGGCAGTTCTCACTCAGGTTAATCACTCCAGTGTTCACAGTCGCCACCCAAGAAATTCCCTGGACTCTGTTTCACCACAATCTGAAATCTACTTCACATGTCACAGCTTCTCACCCTCCCCCCATTGCCTATCCTACATCGCATGGCCTCCCAGAGATATTCTCTTTCTACTAGGACCTCTTCCTGAGCCTCTTCTGGGGTTCCCCCTTCGTATGTGTAAATTCACGGTGTCCTGCAGGTCCGCAGGGCTGCCATGCACTCCAGTCTCCCCTCCTGCCCCAGTCAGCATCCCGATGGGATGCTGGGTCCCCGGCACTCGGACTCGGATGGCCAAGAATGCAGTGGGCTGTCCCTCATGAGGTGTGGTGGGGGCAGTGCCGGGAAGTGTAGGCTCAGGAGCCCACTGACCTGCTCCCCTCCCACCTCTGCTCTGCTCGGTTGTTAGGACTGGGGGCCAGTGACGTTGTTTCTGGCCTCCACTTTCCTCCTCTAATGAAACCAGGACACCAGGGGCACCATTCTCCTGAAGAGGAGGGATCAGGCAAGACAGTGCATGTGAAGCGCATGGCACCGTGTCCTGGCTGTGCTGTATGTTACATGCATGTTACTTTCACCATGGTTATCAGCTTTGCCCAAAACAGAGTGAATGGACTGACCGCGAAAGGATTGTTTCCAGAAAAACAGCCCCCATTGATTGCACACCTATTGTGCGCAATAGTACATCTCACTTCTTTACTTCTCACAACCACCTGATAAGGGGGGTGTTAGCATCCGCATTAGATAGATGAGGAAGCAGACAGAGAAGTGAAGCCACTTCCTCTTTCTGACTGTAAAGAGGGTGTAACTCCACCCATGTCAGGGAATCAGAATGAGGATTAAACAAAAGATCCTATGAAATTTCTCACTCCCGTGTCTGGGAGAAAGAAGGCGGTGCTCAGTCAGTATCGTGTGACTATGAACACGAAAATAATCAGACCGAACCAGAGTGACAATACGGGGAACAGAAGAGGGGGGTTGACTTTGAGATCACATAAGAAGCTGGGCGTTCTCTTTTTTTACTTTTTGTGAAAAAGAAGCAGTCTTAAACTGGGAGGCGGGGGGCGGGCTGCCACAGGACACAGTCTGCATCAAGGGGGTCTAGATGCTAAGACCTTGACCGAAATGGGGTGGATTTCTGCATGTATAGCAGCTACGCTTTGAATCACAAATTGAACACACACACACACACACACACACACACACACACCCATCCTGGTAGCTCCATTATCCTTCCCCATTTGGGACGTCCCACCATCTTTCTCAACTCACCACCTCCAATCTCATAAAAATGTATGCCATCACCCATTAGGAGAGCAAACGTTGCCCACACGGTGAACATGCATTTCTCTGTATTTCCCGGGAACCAGTTCCGTCATCCCAAGTGGATTCTGCCCCATCCCTTCCCAAATGGACTCGGATCCTGCCTTCCCGGTCACATGTGAAGCCCGGACTCGGATGAATCAACGGCCCCTCCAGCCCTCCTTGCCAGGGATGGCAGCACACGGAGCGCATTGGCAAAGTGAGCCACTGAGCGTAGGCAGCGCGACTGGGGAGGAGGCGGCGAGCGGCTGTTTCCAAGTCTGCTGGAGCCACGAGAGGCTGGCAGGACCCCAGGCTGGGCTCCCCCACGATCCTGCCTGCACCTCTGCGTCCCGCTTCACAGCAGCATCCTCGGCAGGGAGCCACCGTCCCGGGACGGTGTCCTCCACACGGACCCCCACAGGCAGGTTGTAGCAGCTGAACGGCTGGAGCAGAAGCACAGCCACCAGGACTTTCCTGTGGGCTCTTCCCACATTCACTTGGCTCCCTCTTCTCCTGCCTCATCCGCACAGAAGGTAAACCAGGGAGCCAGTCTCTGCCTAGGGCAGGGGATAGAGCAGAAACCCTTTAAATAGCAACAGCTACTTTTCTTGGCTCCAGGATGGCCTGGCTTCCTCTGGACACAGCGTGTCATCCGCAGACCTGTCCCGTAAGACCGGGCGCCTCCTTCCTCACCCCGAAACGGCCTGAGCCTGGAACCTTTTCACTAGGGACCAGTTCGGCGAAAAGAGCGCATTGTGTAGTCAGGAAGCCACATCTGAGTTGGAGTTGTACTCATACTGGGTGGCCTCAGGCAGACCCTGTGTCCCCAGAGTTCTTTCCTCAAGAATCTGTCTGATTATCTTGGCCCAGTGCCCTTCACACATGATGTGCTTATTACTGAAGAAGCAGAAATACGCAGAGATAGCACTGAGGGGCCCGGGCCCCGGAACCTGACTGCCCAGGTTCAGATCCCAGCACTGGCACTGTGTGACCTCAGGGGAACTGCTAAACCTCTCTGTGCCTTCAGCTCCTAGCCTCTAAAATGGGAATGATGGTAGCAGGACCTCATCAAGTTGCTGTGAGGGTTAGGAACAAGCCCTGAGCACAGTGGTGGCCCAGCCAAAGCCACTCGTGTCTCTGTCCCTGCTGTTCACAGTGCCACCGCTCCCGTGACTCCGACCACCACTCATCCATACTGGGTGCCTTCGGGCTCCCAGCATGCCCTGTGAGCGGCAGCCTGGGGGTTCATCAGAATACTCGCACAGCGTCAGGGAGAGAAGGGAGTGGCGGGGAGCACTCATGACTGATCCAAACACAAGTGCCTGGAGCACCCACTTTTCCACCACTGACAGCTGTCCCCTCTCATCACCGCGTGTCACCCAAGTGCAGACTGCCAGGGCCAACCGAGATCCCAGGGTCAGAGTCCAGCGTTTTCCTTACAACGACAAAGCAGCGCTGACGTTAAACAGCATTCCGCCTCCTAAATAGGCTCCCAGAGTCCTTCTAACGTCAAGCCTCTGGCCAACTCCAGATCCCATCCGCTTGTTTGGTCTGTGAATGTAATATGTCTCTCTTTGCTCCGGTTTCCCCTCTGCAGTTTAACCGTGTGCTATTCTGTCCTTTCCTCTCTGGCAGCAAGCATGCTGCTCCCACGGCCTTCGCTGGCCCAGGGGCCACAGTGGGCAGGGGAGGTGCGGGCGGTCACAGTGCTCCCACAACAGACGTTTCCAGACTGGGAGCTGGCGGCACATCGGGCGTTCCCGCCACCTTGATGTGGCGGCTGGAAGCCAGCTTTATGGACTGGCGGGCTGACACCCGGGTTTTCTTTATCCTCCCTCATGCTGGAGAGTGGCCCATGCTGTCCACCCAGTGTCCTCCGGCAGCTACACCAACTTGGGTGTGAACTGGGTTGGTATCCGGGGATCTGGGTTGGGTGCTGGGAGGGTGACAATAAGACATCGAAGCCCCATTTCCTGCCTCCAGAGAGCACAGTCCAGTTTAAAAGCTCCTGCTAGGGGGCTGATGGCCAAGGTGCCGAGCACTAGTTGGAGGAGGGGATGAGGGGCAGCCTGAACCTCAGCCTCGGAGCCTCTCCTGCTCCGGGGAGGCAATCTGGAATGAAGCTCAAAAGCAAACACAGCCAAGAGCTTTTGAACTTGAAACCTGTGAGAAGAACGTGGCCGGGCTGTGTGTGCTTGTGTGAAAAGATCCCTTGTAACCCTGAAGCTAAAGCAGATGGCACTCTGTCATGAAGCTTATGGTGTTTCCCTGTAGATTCTTAAATGTGCTGGTCGGAGGAAGACAGCAGGGACCTGGAAGAGGAAGGAAGGGTGCCTGCAACCCAGCTCCTCTAATGGTCACTTCCTGTTTACTTCCCTGTCATCCTCCTGGCAGGGTGGCAAAGGAAGGGTCCTTTCTGAGGCCAGATGCTCCTGGAAAAGGGGATAAGCAGGAGACCCCACAGCTGTGCAGAGAAGCCCACAGCCCACCTGGCTCAGCCACGGGAGCAGGTCCCTGGCCCTCTGCACCCAGCACCATCAACATCTCACTATCCTCCGAGGGCAGGCGGGGCTCCCCGACTCCTCAGCTGCCCTCCTGATGGTGAGCCTTTGCTCCGTGCATTTCATTGCAGCGCATCCGTAAGCCTAGAGGAGAGGGGAGGAGCGACAGCTACCGCTTCTCAAGCCCCTCTCTGCGCCAGGCAGTATGAGCACGTCATCTCACTTGTCCTCACGGGAACCCTATGAGGTGGCTATGACTGTCCGCAATTTCCAACGGTGAAAAAGAGGATCAGGTACCCTGAGGGCGGAAAAACATTGGCGGGTCCCCCAGGAAAGTGGACTCCTTAAAAACCTGATTTCCATGAGATTCATACTGATGGCAAAAGAGGTCATCATTTTCCAGCACCTCCCCACCCCCACTGTCAGCTCTGCTAAGGATTAGAACGGAGGACTGGTCTCTAGGAGGAAAGGCCCCTGATATGTCCCCAATGATCCCCACATCCTCTTGACCACCCCACAAGACTCTCCCAGTCTCACACTCTCTCTATCTTTCACACACACACCCTCTATTAGTAATGAGGATCGACAAGTAATCAGCATTAGCAATATAGCAGAACTAGAGGCCCGATGCACAAAATTCATGCTGGCTACTGACACTGGCTTCCCTCTGGCACCTGGGACCCAGGCTTCCCTCGCAGCCCTAGCTTGGTTCAGAAGGTCGTCTGGAAGGATATCTGGTCTAATTAGCATATTACCCTCTTATTATTATAGATATCATCTGTTTAGCTCACAATGTTCCCCCATCAAGGCTCTCATGGAAGCAAAAACAACTCAGAAACCACAAAACTTGATGCTCCTAAGGCTTCTCCCAGCGCTGAGTCTGAGGTTAGACGGATGGGTTGGAGGAGATAGTGTATCTGTGAGAAGGCACTTCGTAACCCTGAAGCGAGAGCAGGTGAC